TCTGCATCGGCAGGCGGACTCTCAAGCACTGCGCCACCAGGGAAGCCCTGGAAGGGTCTCCTTTTAATGAGAGCCATTTCTGGCTCAGTGTGGGCCCCACCCCACAGTGCAGGTCTGCTCAGGCTCTACTGCCCACCCTCCATCCTGGGGCAACCCCAAGACATCAGAAAGCTGGGCCGGGGGCTCAGCCGAGGGTCTCGCTGGCCGCTCTAACCTTCGCTGCCGCCAAATGAAGCAGCCACCTCGCATGACTTCAACTCCAACTGATGGACCACTAAGGCCATGACCTCCAAGCCCAGTACCTGGTGTGAGATAAACACTGATGAAAACATGAGTCCTCACCTTCTCCAGGTGAGCTGAGCCATCACCCAAATATCACCTCTCCGACCTTTGTGTTAAAATTGCATCCGCATGACCGACATTCCCAATCCTCCCTCCTGGCTTTATTTTTCTCCCTAGCACATTCCACTGGCTGATACAGTACATATTTTACTTTTATATTTTAATTAACTGTCGTTCCCCATGAGAATGTAAGTTCCTCGGGTGCGGAGATTTTGCCTGTTCCATTTCCAGCACTTAAATATTACATAGCTCCAAACTGGCACCTCAATACAAATTCATTGAATTAATATAAGAAGAGTTCCTTTTTTTTTTGGCTGCTTTGGGTCTTCATTGTTGCGCGTGGGCTTTCTCTAGTCGTGGCAAGCAGGGGGTTACTCTTCGTTGCGGTGGCTTCTCTTGCTGCAGAGCACGGGCTCTAGGCATGTGAGCTTCAGTAGTTGTGGCACGCAGGCTTCAGCAGTTGTGGCACGCGGGCTCTAGAGCGCAGGCTCGGTAGTTGTGGCGCATGGGCTTAGTTGCTCTGTGGCATGTGGGATCTTCCCAGACCAGGGCTCGAACCCGTGTCCCCTGCATTGGCAGGCGGATTCTTAACCCCTGCGCCACCAGGAAGTCCCATAAGGAGAGTTCTGATCTAACCCATCGCACTACACTTTGGTGGGGTAAAAAGAAATCATTTTCATTCAAAATTACATGGCTACCGGTTTTTTAAAAGATGGTTTTTAAACTGCCTGAGTTTTCTACAATTTACTTTTGGCTTCCCAAGTCGGAGAGAACAAGCTTTAAAGGCCTGTCTTAAACAAACAGGTCTAGACAGAGAATATTTTGTGAAGAGTAAATAAATCAGACACGTATGATTTGTATTTCTCTCCAAGTTTACAGAGATTTAACAATGAATGGAAGATACTCTGCAGGCAAAATGAGTTTGGGTTTCATCCAACGTGTGATGCTTTGAAAACTAGTTCAAAAAACAAAGCAAAACAAAGCACTACACACTCACACGACTGGAAATGTCTCATCTAATCCCTCCCTGCGACCTAATTATAATGACATTCCATGTTCAAGGGCTGATTCCTTCTGAAAATTTTAATTGTCTTTTCGTACCTGTTCTAGCACGTCCCTCAGCCCACTTCTGTAAATCGGGGAAACGACAGTCCCTTCGACCACGGGCTCGGCCATGGTTGGACCTCATGCCTGGTTGATTACTCCTTCCCATTTTCACTTTTCTGTTACCAGGCCTACTTCCTTCACCCTGAAACCTCCTGTAACCAGCTCTCCTCTGACTCCTTTGTACCTCGGGAGCCTCTATTATTGGTCATTACCCTGATCTTTTCTTTTCCTTTTTTAACAGAAAATGAAAAGAAGGTAATGTCAATATACGGGACACTTCTCTTCTCGGGCAGAGTCTGATTTTGAGGCGCTTGACTGCTGCTGTTACAAAGATATCCCAGCTGCTTGCTGCCTTGCCGTTTGGGCTGGCTCTCGGCCAAGGCCTTGTTTTCTTGCCACCCTTAAAAGCTGGAGGTTGGGGAAGGAGAGTCGTGGTGCCGGCAGCTTCAGAATTTTTAGAAAAATGGGGTAAAGGCACGGGAGGCTGGGTCTGAATAAGGAGAGTGGGGAAGTTGGCCATTTTAAAGAGGGCGTCTCTTTAACGGGAAGGTAAGACAATCCAACTTCCAGAAGAAAACGTAAGAAGATGTTTTCATGACCGTGGAATATAGTCAAAGGTTTCTTAAACAGAAACAAAATGCACTAATCATCAGAGACTGATAAATTATACTTAACTGAAATGAAGAACTTTGTTCAACACAAGAGTGAAAATGCAACCACCCTGGGAGAGGATATTTGTCTATTTGACAAAGGACTTGTATGCAGAATATATAAAGAACTCCTGGAAGCAATAAGGAAAGAAAGACAGTCTGCTTCTAAAAATGGGCAAAAGGCCTGAGCAGGTGTCCAGTGAGCACATGAAAAGGAGCTCAACCACACCCTCCAGCAGGGAAACGCCAAGTCACAACCACAGTGAGACCCCACGTCACATGCGTCCAAATGACCAGGAGCAACAAGACTGACAACAGCAAGTGCTGGGGAGAAGGTAGAGAAAACAGAAATTTCATAAATCCTTGGTGGGAGGTAAACCGTACAACTGCTTTGGGAATCTGGCTGGCACGATCTACCACACTGGAACACACGCACATCCTGTGGCCCAGCCGTTCCATTTCTAGGTATAGATCCAGAAGGAATGAGCACGTGTGTGTTCCAAGAGGAGTACGAGAACAAACCAGCAGGATTTATGACAGCCCCAAACTGGAAGTAACTCACCTGCCCATCAACAGCAGAAGGGATAAATGAATAACGGTGGGGTCATACAATAGGTTACTGATGGGTGAAGAAAATGAACAGACTTACAGTTATAGGCAGCAACATGGATAAATCTCAGTAACTTAACTTAAAAAGACAGATGGAAATACTACAGTTTTTACTTCCATTTATATAAAGCTCAAATGTGGGCAAAACGGATGTGGCATTTAGGGATGCACACTTTTGGAGAAAGCCATCAGGAACCGAACTGAGGACAAAGGGACCTGTGGGAGTCGTGAGGGCCTATGACAGGAAAATCACACAAAGGGCTTGAGGGACAGCAGTGCCGTTTCTGGGTACGACTCCGTGGGTTTTCACTTGACAATAATTCATGAAACTATGATTCACGCTTGACGCACTTTTGTCTTTGTATATGAAATTTCATAATAAAAAACCTTAAACTTATATCAGGTATTACTTCCTTGTTTAAACTTCACGGAAAACAAAAACTCTCCCAGTAAACCAAAACTCTTCAACTAAATGCAAGCAACTCCTAAAGAAACAGAAGTTGAAGGTCCACCACGTGGGGACTTTATGTGAATTAGGAAACGGCTCCCTCTTTGGGAAGATGATTTAGCGAAAGCTGTCTGCTAGGGCTGAGCAGCCTGTCGGGCGCCCTGCTTGGGGGTTTATACCTCCTCTAAGCAAAGGAAAAGGCCTCCTCCCATAAGAGACGCAGGCCTGCGTTGAGGTCACGTCTGCTGGGAGTACAGACGGGCCTTCAGTCCCACCCACCTCTCTGACGGGGCCCTTGGGGCCACACAGACATCTCCCTCCCTGGCAACCCTGCCTGTGAGAACAGAAGCCGACAGTGACAGGCACAGTGGCCCAGCCAGGCCAGTACACACGCAGGGCACAGGACCCCGCCCACCCCCCCGAGCCGCTGGACGCTGGCTGCCACCGCCCCTTACCGCGTAGCCCTCCGTCTTCTTCTGGCACCACCTCAGGAGAGCGTTGCGCTTGGAGCCACCGTATTCCCGGGCCAAGGCAGCCAGGGGGTCTCTTCTTTCCACGCTAGTTAGAAAGGAGAGCACACAGTACAGAGAAGATGCTAACTTTTAAAACCCACAAATACGTAGGAAATAACTAACTAGATTAGAAAAGCAAAAGTCGAGGTCTATCCAGTGAGACTCCAAAGAAACCACCAAATTGGTCCCATCAACAATACATTTTTATTATGTCTCATGGTATGAAAGAGAAAGTAAATTGTGCTTCTTGGCTTTCAGAAGTCTGGGGAGGGTTTTTTTTTTTCTTTCCAATCTAACTGCTGCTCCATCCTTCTAGCCTTTTATTTATGTATCAATACTTATGTACAGTATCATTTTAATTAAAGACACCTATAGAAAAACACTCTGCATGCTTCAAGGCTACACCTATTCCCATGTAACAAAAAAAAGGTAGATTGGAAGAGCATTTTAAAAACACCAGATTGGCTACTTACGGGGAAGTGATGGGAATGGAGATGAAAAACAAAATCGGTAAAACTGACTCAAAAGGTGGGGGGGGGGCCCTGATACTCTGAAGGTGACACTCATACTCCTCAGTTTATGGTGCAGGAACTCAATTCTGAGCACCTGTTTAGCCAAAGGAAGTGATTTCACTAATTAATACCATATCATTCCAAGAGCAAGAGTTTAGGTGCCCCAGCCTCAGTTTTCTATAGACACCTATACTTTGTACGTGACCTAAAATTATCCAAATACTAAAGAGGGACCAAAGATCACACAGTGTCTTCCATGACGAATATCATGAAATGCGAACTACATTCCTATAGCATGTGGAACAGTACTCTATTTCCCTAC